TATAATATTTATAGGCACACAGTTTGCCTATAAATATATACTATACACAGTAATCACTCATTTGCTGCTGTTAAAAGTTCAATAGCTCCTTGTATGGCCACCCTGCACATCTAGACACTGGATAGTGGTGTGCTAGACATGGGTCCTCATCTTCCTACTAAAGCCCTAAAGGAAAGTGACGAACTCTGGATAGATAGATTTTTTTTTTTTAAGTAGGGGACGATTACTGGAGGCCTGAGGAAGCAAATGCGAGCCCTGTATGTGTGTGGGAGTTTAACATTTCATGATAGGCCTAAAACAACCCTGGGTGTGTTGTGCACCAATGATGAAACCTTAGTTATGGTGCACAGTTTAAGGGTTAAAAACAGTAGAGGAAACCACTGAATGTACAGGATTTGGAAAAATTATTTCTCACTCAGAAAATCACACTAACTACATATATTGATGAGATTCTCAATTATTTCTTAGTTGACCGATAAATGAAGACTTTTACAACAAATGGAAACAAGTAAAATAAATTTTGAAAAATATCACATACAATTTCTTACATTCACAATACAAGGATTTTAGAAAATGGAAAAAAGTTTTCACTGGGGTAAACAGCTTGCCCAGGAACATCCCAGCCTGGCCTGCTTACAACCCCCCAATCCCAGTCACTTGTCCAAGACCCTTCCCTTCCATCTTCCTGAAGCATAACCACCTGTCCACAAAACCAATCTATGTGCACTCCTTCCTTCCCTAAAACCAGGCTACCAAGCCCAAAGCCCTACCTGCCCTCAATACCCCCACAACCCCTAACTCCAGCCTGCCAGCAACATCTCTCTTGCTGCCACCCCTTCCCTCCCCAAACCCATTCTAATTCTAACATCTTCCCCCCAAAACCCAGCCTGCCTGCAACATCTCCCCTCAAGCCTAACTTTGCTATGAGCACCTAACTCGGCTTACCTGCGAGCGCCAAGCCCCATTCCAAGACGTTCTGCCTGCTGGGCTTTTTTGGGATCAACTCTCTTCATTCTCTCTTCTTCTCGCTTGCCAGCCAAACTCATGTCTTCATAAGCACGTTCCAAATTCTGTAACTATAAATACGCAATTGTGTTTTGGTACAAAAGATCAATTGATAAATCATTTCTTTGGCACCATAACAAAAAGAAAAAATCAAAGCCCCAAAGAATAAAGAAATCTGCCATACCCATTAGGGAGTATGCACCTTGACTATAAATGGAGTCCAGTATTACCACAAAAGTCCAGTTAAAGCATCTCAAATGGTATTGAAGTTAAGCATTGAACAGTATCATGTATGACTATGCTCGACTATGTTCACCAACCTTTAAACCTAACCCTTAAGCTGCTCTAATTTCCATTTATATCCCCCCCCTCCCTCCCCATTTGATAACTAATTTTAGTCACGTACACCAGGACATTAGTACTTTCAGGTAGCTGTGTCATATAAGGATTAAGTGGCACAGATAGAGAGATAGAGAGAGACAGTATACAAGTCTTACTGAATGTTGCTGTTCTTCCTTGGACATTTCCTTAGCTTCCTGTTTGAGTTGATCATTACGGGCGGCTTCCTTTTCAATCACGCTAAAGTCTTTCTTCACTCTTTGTGCTCCGAGTCCTCCTGCTTTCTTTGCTCCTAACTGTGATAAATCAGGAATATATATTTAATCTTTATTACTAGAAATTGTTATAAGAACTTCTGTTGGCTTACATTACCAATGAAACTACATATGACAAAACAATACAAATTTATTATGGAAAAAATATAAAAAATAATAAAAAAAAAATTTGAAATATCTTTTTAGAGTTCTATGTAATGCTACAATTCATAGAATTTCAAAGTTTTCTAATTTTAAAATCAATATGCCCCAGCCGTCAAGCTGGCATAATAATTTTTTTTCTTGCACATTAATAAAAACCCGATTTGCTGTTAGGTTAAAAAGTACCTCGTTAGGTTAGTAAAAGTACTCAAGATAATGACAACCTCCAACTACCTACTTCACAACTGGCATGTAATTGCTGTCATTAAGTGTCAAACAGCACTGTGTAGCACCTCTCTGTTGACATCAATGTATAAAACCCACTTAAGTTTAATCAACTTTATACACAAATTTTTACCCAAAACCAATGCCCTGGCACTTATTTTAATTGATATAAATTTAATGGACTGCTATTAAATTTGCAGTGAAGATAATTAGCCTTACTACCCTAATTACGGATGATTTAGGACCATACTATTTAAAAATCATGTATAATTCAAGCTTTTCAATTGTTGCCAAGAAAACCTAACTGCCTATGTAAATAAATCCTCAATTTACCAATCATAATTCTTAAAATCAAGGATAGGTCTAAAAGATGAAAGAAAACTGAAAATGTATGTGCGTTTACAGTGCTTCAAATTCACGTCAGACTCATGAGTAAAGCGTGCATAAAGATTAATGATAATGACTGTGTGTACATCTGGGAATATCCAGCGCATAGGTTCGAATCCTCATCACAGCTCCTGTAGATGTTCTTATTGATCTATCATGATAAGGTGATTTCTCGGTGTAATGATAATGTTCTTGGTAAACTGCACAAGTAGCCTTGAAAATGCATCATTATCAATTACGATGGACCACACAAACACAGTTGTGCGCTTTAACCCCTCAGCTGCAGAACAAGTTTAAAAATTTTTTTAATAATAGAACAGAGAGCAAGTAATTTAAGTTTGTGAACCCTCTACTTAGTACAACAGCTTAATTTACCAACGTTGCTCAATGCATTTTAAACGAGTGATCATTTCTAATCCTACAGCCAAGAGGTCAATAAATAACACCAGTGCATTTCAAAGTATATGATATTCAAAAGCATGATCATTTTTACTACAAATTAACATGAAAGAACAGCAGTGGCCTACAAGCTTTAAGAATATGTAGTTAATAATGATCTCGGTCTTGCATATCGGTATGGCCCACCACACACACACACACACACCTCCCATTCCCACCACTACCTTTAGAGGTGATGTAGTAGATTCTACCTGTACACAGAAATGGGCAGGTTAAATTATACACACAGGGGTCATGCCCTAATACACTGTTAAGAAGTATCTTTATAAAATGAGATAGTCAAGAAAATTCTTTCAGCCAAATTAAGTTTTATGGGGAAGTAAAACACTAACATGAAGTAAATAATGAAAACCTAAAATAAATTTGAAAAGTTGATGTTTTGTAAAATATTTATTACAGGTCACAGTCAAAGGCAACATAATGAAATCTACTGTAAATTACCTTGTAGCAAATTTTAAAACAAATCCTTCAAGTCAATGGAGTCGTTTTAATGTCCGATCAGTGTTACCAAGTAAACAATTCCAGTGCTAGTGACAGCAAGGTATACAAAGCAGAGAAACTTTTAAATAAGACTAATTATGATATGTCTTTCTAAAAGTCTTTCCTATAAAAAAATTTTTTAGTGATATAGAAAATGTGTAAAGATGAGGTTTTCTATCAATAAAACCCCCAAAAAAGCAGGCAATTATATTGTATACCCAAATCACATTATCAAAGGAATACTGATCTAGAATAAATACTGCATGCATAACCTTATATTAATACTGTACTCAGATGACACTCTTCGTACTCACTTTATTAGGTCTTCGTTGACCTATTGTAGACTTTCTAGGTTCGTTAGCAAGCTTCTGCGCCTCAGTGGCAGACATGTTGAGAGCAACCTCAACGTTTGGAGCAGCTTCGTCTTCTGGCGACCCATTAGTCCCGTTACTTATGGCCTTACTCTGAGGAATAAACAACATAGTAAGCAGCAGCAGTGCCACACATGCTTTAAAATAAGGATCGTATTCAAATGAACGGTCAAGCTCCAATGCATGCTAATGAAACGAGATCTGCAACAGATTGATAACATATGAAGATGGAATGGAGTTCAAAATAATAATAAAAACAATCATTAAATAAAAAGGGATGACAGATGGAAGAAAAGATAGTAGCACAAGTAAATGTAATGAAGTTACTGCAACGGAATATCCCTCTCACTACGATACTTCTATTATAATCCTATAATTTTTTCAGCCCTTCCAATATGACCCCTATTCTTTAGTTAATATTGGGCAAAAGATCAAGAAAATTCTGCATTTTTTCCTACTTAAACCATTTTCATGACAATTTTATGCCCTTTCAAGTGATATTAATGTTAAAATAAATTTTCAGAAGGACAAAATGTGAACACATTTTTTAGTATGAAATACTGTATGATCCAAGTAACTCGATACAAAGCTATAAATGTTCCCAATACTGTATACTGAATATCAAATCCAAGAAGTAAGCAATCTCACCTAGTACAGTAATTTTATGAAGGTTAATTGCAAAATTAAAAACAATTCTGCCTATTTTACCATAAATTGGTTTGGGTCAAAATAATTGTTACATTTCTATTAAAAAAAAATGGCCATGTACATATTTACAAATTATTATAACAATCATGAGGGTGATCAAATTTTTAACCGAAACTAATTATTCTCGATATTTAACCTACATTGTGACTTTTTCTGCAATGCTGCTAAGCAGCTGTAGCTACCTGGTTACAGCCTACATAATGAGGGCCAAGATGTCTGGATGAACATTCTACGACGTTGAAACTATTGCCTTCATACTTTTTTTTCCAATTAGCCTATTTTGGAGCTTTTTTTTTTTTTTAAGCAATCATTAAGTGCAGTCTTTCTTTCTAGAATCTTCCCTTCAGGAGAGCGTGGGAAGGATTGTTTACTATGCATTGCCACCTGTTGGCAACTATGCAAATGTGAGCGCAAACATTACAACTTGCTTCATCCATTTGTTATTTGTTTCCACTTACAATTCAAATTCTTGTTGGCATATATATCTTTTTTATTACTTATTATTATATTCTAAGTTTTGCAGAACACTTTTGGCCTGGAAATACATTACAGTACTTGGGCTATTTTTTTCTATTAATAAAGATGCTGTATTTTCACAATCTAACACTTTTTTTATATGCAGCCAGAGTTAATATCGTTCGTTAGAAGTACTGCTTTTATTACACTCAAATCCACAAAATTCTTCAACTCACTACTCAAAATAAGTTGATACCAACTAAACACAGTGGAACAAATAATGGACCCTCAGAGTCCTCATACCACCGCAAGCAGCTCTATCTTAATTAAACCTTTGTCGTACTCTTAACCTTATTTCCGGCAATAAAATAAAATTTTAAAAGGGTCCCGGTAGTACGGTCGGGTTCATTCTTGACTCACAATCAAGAATTTCGGTTTCGATTCCCGGATGGAAGATAGAAATGGTTGGGCGCATTTCCTACAACCTAATGAGCCTGTTCACCTAGCAGTACGTAGCTACCCCTGGAGTCAGCTTGTGGGGTTGCATTCTGGATAAGATCAGTACAGTAATTCAAATTAAGGAGGGGGGGGGGGACCTCGATATAAGCCTAACGTGTATGAATCAACCCTAGCTGCTTGTCCCAACACAATGAATTAACTTCAAAAGTTCTGCAAAATTATTGATGCAATGTAAATGTTCAAAAAAGTTTTAAAGAAAAGTATTTGTATTAAACCTTACACTATGAAATGCTAGACAAACATTGTGTTACTGAAAAATCGTCATCACTTGCACAAATGCCCATCACATAAGTTGAATAGTACATGCTTAAAGCTAAATTGAGAATAAAACGACTAATACAGGAGATGCATACATAAAAACAAATGCAGGTAATAGATTGGTGTGGCAAACTCAAATTTAGCATTTAACTATATAAACAGTTAAAATAATTATAATAGTTATCCTATCATATGTAGTGTACACACACACACTGGCTAAATTCATCTAGTATGAGAGGCATTCCAATAACATTTAAGGAAAAAGAAATTGGATGAAGCATGGAAAAGATCTCTAACCACATCTTTCACATTAATTAATCAACAATAGGTTGCAGGGGGAGAATGCTTCTGGCTGCAAACTGAAAACAAGCAGAAACAAATCAGAAGCTGTGTTGGAATAATACATTTCCAAAATACACAAATAACTAATTCCATTTTTTTGACAGAACTTTATACAGAATAATGAAAAATATCACTGCACTACATCAACATAACCAAGTCTGAAAGTCTTCAAAAATTGTAATGTATGTGATTACCTTGGAGTAACCTATTAACAGCAAGAATGTACCAAAGCTGAAGTTTTCAGTACCTTAGCAGAAATAAACTCGGGCTTGGAATGCACGAAATCTGGGGAAGCAGGAGCAGCATTGTTGACGTGATCATCAAAGAAATCAACTTCCTTCTTTTCCTCTTGGACTATAGTTTCAGGCTGTCCATCAATATTAATCTGTGAAAGTTTTATGTAGTAAGATTAAGAGCCTTTTAATTTTTGACAAAACCAGGTATGTTTGGATCACAACCAATCAAGAGAGGTATCTCAGGGCCAGCATGTAATGGGATACAAACACTGGTATAATGAGTAATGGAGTACAGTACAATGGTGCTTTAATGAGTAGAGAATAATGACCCTAGGAGTTATAATTAGTGGTAGATGTTTGGAAGTGGTGTGGCATTGTGGATGCAGAAATATTTATTAATTTTGAAGACTTAATTAAGCCTTCTTATGGTTTTAAAACCCATTACATAATCTGCCACCAGGTAGTTACATGGCTTAATAAGGGCACAGTACAATCTGTGCTAGATGTCGTACGGCTATAGAGTACTGTACAGTACTTCAATTTTATGTAGAAATTATCAATAAATTCTCCCCAAATACCTACACACACACATATTGTACGTGTAAAGAATACGGTGTAACCATGAAGAGAAAAAAAAAAATGACTGGATATAGCAAAGAAACCTTTGCTTTATGATAATGTACGAGAGTTGTCTCACATCAATACTAATATAGGCTCTTCAGACATTTCACGAAAACTAAAAATATAAACCTGGGGAGCTACATTCTACAATGTCAATATTCGGTACAGCCACACTTTTTACTCCAATTTATGCCAAGTTTAATCAATACGACCGAGTGTTCAAAATATTAACTGGAAACTTCACAGAAGAAAAAATCCAAGAGCAGGAGTAAGAATGTATGAAAAAATACCAATTTCCTTATTTGATAAAGGATCACTGAAAATGCACAAATATTGTTAAAATCTTGGAGGATGATTCATGAAGCTGCGAAGAGCATAAGGTATGTACTAGAATGTTACCCAATAGACCAAAGATAATTTATACGAAAGCACATTATCATAATATATAAACAGTGTATTTTATATACAGTACTGTATATTAAAATTTCCTGTACAGTATACTAAAATTTCATAAAAAAACTTTTCTGATAAAATTCGCTAAGGAAAAATATTTGATTTCTTCTAAGAATATTTATTCAACCCATCCTCGTGTTTAGATACAGTAGTACTTTTTGCAACTGGACTATCATATACAGTATACATGTATATATATATATATATATATATATAGGGTATATTAACCCCTGCACTGCGTACCTGTTTTTAGCAAAAACTTTGTAGTACAATTGTTAAGGACATATTTTTGTTGTTTTTATAAATGTTCTGGTAAAGTCGACGTCAATATGTTTCCGAACTCAACTATTTTCATATCAAAACACAGACTGATGAAAACTATTAAAACACATTAAAATATAGCCTAATTATAAAATAAAAATGCACAACTCTCAAAACGACATTTGTTGTTTGGCGCAGTGCAGTGGTTATTGTAATGGAAAATTAGATAGTAGAATTTAGTACTATTCACTTTATAGTTAAAAAATTAAGCTAAAAAAAAAAACCAAATATTCCTAGGCATAGTACTGTATATACACATGTACAATCAAGCCTCGGATATCGTGTATTAGGCCTAGGATGGTTAGATTCGTTTTTATTAGCAACAAATACAAAACCTTTTCTAGTTTGTCCAAATTCAATAGTACCAAATTCTACTTTCTAACTGTCCATTCCATCAACATATGTACGATGGTCCTTATTGTTATTTATAAGTAGAACCTTGATTCAGCAAATCTCCGGCTGCATGTCTTTGCAGCAATTTTGCTGGGTGAATGGTAACTGTGTGCCTCCAATCACATTTTAAATGATTATCCATGGATGGGCACAAGATTACAGGAAATAGTTGGAGCCTTGGGAAAGCTATTGAGGATATTTATAACCAAATTCTACAGTTTGTTTCCATTTTTGGTTGGCTGGATTTTCATTCACTCGGGTATGGCCCTGCTACCTTGGGAAGATTATTTTGAGGCTAGGGACAAGAGAAATGAGCTAAAGGTGGTTAAATTTCTTTGCAGATATGTTCATTTAGTAGTTGTCTAGTATACAGTGACACCTCGGCTTACGAATGCCCCTCTTTACAAACTTTTCGGGGTACGAGCCCAATTTCTTCACAAAATCCGAATCGGGTTATACACTTTGCTTCGGGGGTAACGTAGCTTGTCGATACGCATATAGCCGACCTAGCGAGTGGTGGCACGGCGACCACGCCTCAGTTTACCAGTGCCTCCTGCCTAGTGACAATCGCGCCCGAATTCTTCGTAAAGAATTTCAGCGTTTTTCAGATTTTTGGGTATTTGAACATTAAATAAATTATTATATATCTCGCCATGGGTCCCAAGAAAGTCAGTGGTAAAGTTCAACCTAAGAAAATAGTTGTGAGTAGAGGCAGTAGAGGATGTCCCTTCCTCATTAAGAAAATGTGTGAAGTATGAGAAGAACTGCAAAGTTTTGTTGAAAAAACTCGCCTAGATAAAGCTGTAGCAGGCCATTGCATTGACCTTTTAAATGACAACGTGATGTCTCAATACAGGCAAGTGTTAAAATGTAGGGAAAAAACCAAGTGTCTTTAGACAGATTCTTATTAAAACAAGCGAGCCACAACCAGGTCCTAGTGGTACTCCTGCAAAACGTAGGAGAGAGTACTCCAGAGAAGTCATCAACGCCTGATGTTATAATGGAAGGGGGACTCCCCTTCTAAACATTAAACACCTTCTCTTCCCTCACCATCTTCCATATGCCAACAGGAGTCATCAATAAAAGTAAGCAATAACTTTTACATACTTTAATACTAACGATTTGGGTGAATTAGGTATAAAATTTACTTTGAAGTTAATATTTTTAGGAGTGTGGAACGGATTAATTAAATTTACATTATTTGTTATGGGAATATTCGCTTCGATTTATGAATTTGAGTTATGAACCGTCTCCGAGAATGGATTAAATTCGCAAGCTGAGGTACCACTGTAGATGTAAACAGTGGCAATAAATCTGCCAATTCAGTTGAAACCAGGAAGAAAATAGAGTGTTTTGGTTGCTAAAATTAGTAAATATAAGGAAGTCTTCACAATAACTACCTTGTAATAAAAATGATTGCACAAGACATTGGGTCTTCTAATAACCTAAACCAATAAAATTAATAAAATATTTAAAATAGGTTGAAATTAGCCCATAGGGCATGGGAAAGGCATTCTTAAGGTATATCATGTTGCAATGAATCCCTCACTGCAACAAATTGGTGTTATTCCCATATACTGTAGCTCCTTAAATCGAGGTTATACTGTACATTACTATCTAAATAGGAGGATGGGTTATGTTTATTTCAATATAAAATAGTGTATCTAGTTTCAATTTGTAAACTTACACATGATAAATCTATCATTTTTTAATGAAATTATGTGGGTTTCATTTAATACATCACGTATATTTACCGAGTAGAGTATTAAATTTTGACAAGTGCTTTTGTTAAAACTTAACAAGGATGGGGAACTGTACACAACTCTTCACAGGATACAATGTAACATTACAGCACAAGGTGGGAATTTGAAATCAGGAACTCTTAATATCACACTGTGAGCATCACAAAACCATATTACTGACTCATGCAGAGGGACTTTGCTTCATATTGCAGATACTTCCATTGTTACCATGACCGGTAAGTATTATTGGTTTGGGCATCTTATATAGGTATGGATAAACAAGGAAATCACAACAAATTTGGTCAAGTCAGTATTAGCATGATTCATAAATATGGCCTCTAAACCAAAGCAAAGACTGTGCCACACTCAAAACAGCATGAACTGTTCCCCCCTCTCACCACCATAGGCTCTAGCTGAGTGGTTGATGGCGATGCAGATATACTTGCAGGAGACCATGCGGCCAGGCCTACTGTGCTAGCCAGTTTATGGATTTGGTCGTGGTCTAGCTCCATCTTGGTATAGAAAAGAAACAGTCACAACTGCTACCTTTCAACAAAGTAGTCATGGAAATACTAAAAAGTATTGTATCTGCTGACTGTAAATTAAAAAGTGAACTACACATGCAAAATGCATTTCTTAATGAACAAAAATTAACATTTCTTATTGTGCCTACAATAGTTGGTATTTATAAACAACTTCTCTGAAATATTGATAGGTATTACTTGCAAATTAAGGTACTTACTGGTTGCAGGCCTTGTCTGCTTGGGGTCTTACAGCTGACCTTTATCTAATGCTTCCATTCCAAATATTTATAAAACAAATTCTGAACATTGCTGTACAACAGTATACTGTACATGTCAAAGCTCAAAATTGATTATATTATATAAGTTATTAAGTTAAGTCAACATTCTTAAGTAATAAGAGGGTAGAAACTTTTGATTATAATTTTAAACACTTATTTTTATCTTTTACCTAAATATTACTGTACATACAATTATAAATTCCAAATATTATTCAGTACAGTACATCTGATGGAGTACATTTTACTGTACTTATCTTAAGGTTGTGGCAGTCTACTTCTCAATTAATGCAACATTACTTTTCATTATTGGGATTATATTATGCCACATACAGAATAACCTGATAAATCATGTAATATGACACTGCAAACTGCTACACTTACCCGAGTCCCGTGGATCCTCATAGCTTGCTGGGCCATTTGAGAGAGCTTTTCACGATAAAGCTGCGCTGCCCGCGAGTTATACTTTTGCTGGGCATCTGTGGATGTGCAGTTATGCTGACGGAAGAATGTTGCCTGCCAGGATGATAAGTAAACATGAGGACATAATAAAAAATCATTAGATACAGCACAAGATAATTATCAGAAAGAAGCACTAATTCGGTATGAATATATATAGAGTGCTTGGAAGGGATACATGGACAACAGCCTGGGATAAGAAGGAGGGAAGAAATGGTGCCCTACCACGTGAATCATTGGCAGATCAAACGCCCAACTTGCAAGAAGCGAAGTCATCACTGTACCAACCAATCCAATAACAAACTTAGCAATATTCCACTTATATTTTAAATTAGTTTCTCATTCAAGTAGGTTTTGGTTTTTAAATATTTTTACTTCATTGCAAAGTGCCTGGCAAAAATCCCAAGCATATTAGTCACTTACCAAGTAAGTAATTATCAAAAGAAGTCACCATGCCAAGCCCCCCCCCTCCCCCCACTTACCAAAATACTTTATTTTAAAACACTTCCAATGCAATATGCATAACACATTTTTTGACTAGACATGAATTTCAACATTATGCAGAACTGGAATCACATGCTTCAAAAGTGAGCAATACCTAAAAGATTGTTTGGGTAGGCCATGATCACAAGTATCCTCAAGAATAATATAAAAAGGCATGATGCTCCACACTTTTTCTGATGTGCATGTCAATTTTTTGAAAATACGTGATTTGTTTTATGACGAGAATGTGCTAACTTTGAGAAAGTACTAAGCCAGTCTGACTACATAGCACTTGGAGGGTATATTTGGATAGTACAGCAGATATCTCTGATAGGACAGTGGGAAGGAAGGTTGACTAACCACTTTGACTGTCAAGGATTGAACACCCACCCATCAATAAACAAGGCTGATGTCCCAATCAGTATAAAATATTGCTTTAACCCCTTAGAAAAGTGATCATGAGTGGAAAGTGAGTGTGGCCTTGGCAATAGCATTTTTTCCAATTAGAAATAATTAAGAAAAATAAAGAACAAATTACAGTGGCAAAATTACCAAATGCTTAGATAAAGCAGGTTACAAATATACATGCTACTATATACAGTAACATACAGTATATATACTGTATATTAAGTTTGTGAGAGTATAAAACTGCATTCTGCCATACTTCAGCATACATTTAGTAATCTATTATCCTTACAATACAACTGATTGTTTGCCTAACTGCCTTAAATGATCTACTAGATGCATCTTATAACTATAAAAATTACTGCACAAGGAAAGTATCTTACAGCATTTGTGTTACCACCAAGCTGCATATTGCGAAGCTGTAGCCATGTCCAGTTTGTATCTAGCTGTGTTGACCTTACAAATGTCAAATGAACCCCTAGGCTGCGATGCACAGCCGAGCAGTCGATGCAGATGAAAACTCCATATGTCACCGAGGCCCAAGTTGGATTCTTGGAACTGCAGTCGAAACATACCTGTAAAAATATTAGGGCACAACATAAATCTGCTATTCAAATCAAATTATATCAAGTAAAATTTACTTATTTTGCAGTTTTTTGAAAATATGATACAGTACTGCACTTGTATGATAAAGGAGATTATTTTACTTAATTTAGCAGTATACAGTATTGTAGAGTTAGCCGCATTCCTAAATTTGCTACTCCTAAAATAATACTGTATTAGGTTTCTAAAACTATGGTAGTATTGAATGGCAGCCCATCCTCATAAAATGAAAGTACTTACAGGCACTATTTGGTTTAAAGTTCCAATATGTAATGATGGACCGCCAGAAAGCTTTTTGTATTATTGAATTTGGACAAACTGGAAACTCAAATTGCAGCATAAAAACTTAAACCTCTCATAGCAACTAGGTCTAATGCATGATATCTAACCTCTCATGACAATCCTAGGTCTAATACGTGCTGTCTTAGGCCTAATATAGTACATGCATGAGCCTTTATTGCTAGGCCCATGAATATTTAAGTTTAATTTTTCAGCTTTATTTTTTCAAGACCCTATAAAACAATAGTACAAAAAGTGATTTACTGGTGGTCTATCACTACGTACTGGAACAAACTGGAGGACGAGTCTATTCAGGAAAATTAAATGAATTAGCAGATTGAACAAATCTCCAATTGAGGGGACAAACATAGTACCCTTTATGCAAAAAACATTTCTAATATTTGGTCTCACTAACACAGGTAATGTTTCATCTTAACCTTTAATAATACAAGTCAATCATTTAAGATATGCTCAAATCTAAATTACACACACACTTATTAGCAACAAGGCAAGATGTAGTTGTCCTTATATCACCTTATAATGCTCAAAAATGTAGCTCAAGATGTGCTTCACTATTCCAGCCCTTTGTGTAAACAAGTAAACATGACTAACCATACTGCCTATCTAGGCTTAAATACAAAACCTAACCCCAACCCTGACTTAACCTATTGAAAGGAGGATTTTCTCTCCTCACTTATTACTCCTGCAGTGATGAAGCAACTTGTGTAAATCACGAACTTATGTAAATCAGTATATTGTACTTAAAATATCGACAACCATTCAGTATATTGTACAGTACACCCTTTCCTCGGTTTTGAAATTATTAGATGTACTGTAGTGTCTAAATATTCACAATTTAAGGAAACGCTAGTATAATCTTCACCTTAAAATACTGCGTTAATCAAAGTGGATCTGGTAACCCTTGAGAAAGCTATAAATTTTAAGAAAAGGCTGCTGCCAATGTGTTTTCCTCTTTCACTAATACCCAGTGTGGGATTGGTCTTTATATATATACACGTACACAACGCATGCACACCAATGACATCTAAGCTTTTAATGGGAAATTATTATGATTCAGTGAGGTACCATAAGGCCAGATCCGTGCTCACGTTTACCGTGTCATTCTCAGTACCAGCTTCATACCACACGGTTATACCAAACTGACTTTGGCCATGACACTTAATATATCAAGCAGACGATAGAGCTACACTCACTCCAACCACAAAGATTAATCCTACATTACAGTTGGAGCTGATACACTTTAAAGATAATAGGAGCCGTTTTCTGTGGGTCTATTGCAAACATACCTGGATAGTTACACAACCTGCATATCAGCTACATGCATCATTCAGTCCAGGACTATAGGTCACTACTACTTAGAACATCCATGTGAAGACAGTTCAACTTGTGCCACTTCACCACACACTGCCTGTTTCAAGTCCCTCTGACAAGTGGCTCAACATCTGCTACATGCAATCACCAATTATTGCCTATCTACCTTATAATATTCTTGCCTATCATAATTATGTGTGTATATGATGAGTCACAATAACGTGGTTAAGATATGATGACTAAACCACATGAAGGAAAATTAAAAAATGTCCGTTTTGATCCATCCTGGACCATTATCAAATCACGTGATGACTTGATAATTGATTCCTGTGGTTGCTGTATTGTGAACTAGATCGTGTTGTCAATCTAGTAACAATACAACTTGACAGGGTCCAAGACAGGCTGAAGCATTGCCATTTCTTCATTTACTGACATGTGGATTGGTCATCCTGTGTGTATACCTGTGAAACAGGTACTGTTCTAAAATTGCTTTGGACTTGTCCATATTATGTTGAATCTCTGGTGAGGTTAAAACTCTTCTGCCCAGAGCATGGTAAATTAGTTATTGATTTTCAAACAAAATGTGACCCTGTATGTTTCCCCACGGTTTCTGTATTGTGAACTAGATTGTATTGTCAAGTAATTTTAGATGGGTACATTGTTAAGGCATTAATTCCACCTGTATAACCTATTTTAACATAGCATTGCCATGACACTTGCATAATGTCAACTTTAGTTTTTCATACTATACATAGATACTGTAGCAATTTAATACATTAAATTTTAAGACCGTTTCTTAAAGCTCGAATAATATTTGCAATCTTAAGTGCTGAATGTAGAGAAAAAAATAGCAACAATGACAACTGTACAAATGTATGAATTACAATAATATATGCCAGTGCACATAAATCAAAACAATTGATTTTAAAAAGAGTCCTGAACATGTACTGTAACTAGAAAAAATGTAAGTAGGATTTTATTTGGCTTTTCAAAATGTATACAAGAGGAATAATTTACACAAATTACACTACAGAAGTAAATTCGCGAGTACCTATAAGCTTTAAAATGTTGGAATGATGAAAATATATTTAGTCTATGGCATGGTTCTTTTGTTTGCCTTGCTTTAAGAGTTCAGTGAATGAAGACAATGTCTTCCTCCACTGAACATTTTAAAACAATCATGAGCACTTTGATTAATTCAGGCCAAGACTAGTTAGTGTGTTTACGATTATTTTACCCCACGAAGAGAAGACAGCCCAAGACAATAGCACAATTGGAAACAATTAGTACCTATTCATAAATTTCAGCATTATGATCTTTGTGAAGGAAAACCATCTCTGTACCAAACACCTATAAACCATCACGTATCATCACAATTACCTGTCACTTCCCCAATCTCATAAACCAAAGTTTTACACAAACAACTCACCAAACACGCAACACCAGCTGTTTCACTATTTAATCACCACCCATTTTCTAAATTCATAAATTCTTCTCCATATCGATTAAACTTCACTGTAAGGACCAACGAGTAATATTTTTTGGTCTAAATAACACGTTAATGTACAGATTAGTGTTAAAGATACCTGATGTTGATTTAATAAAATCACTGGTTTCCCGGTTCTATAGTCTGTCACTGGTTCTCAAGAGCTCCAGCCTTCTCATGGATCCACGACATCATTCTCCTCATACATAAAGTCTCACCATCATAATGAGCCTCACAGCCAGGCCAACAGGTGTAATTCATTTTGCTCTGACTTGAAACACACAAGTCTTCCTTCGCACTACAAGACATCTATGCCGGGAAGGATAAGATAATAAACAAACAAAAAATTACCCAGAGACAAGACGCTACGAACAGAATGACAAGTCACGACGTGTAAAACTTACTTTATTTGTGGGTATTGCTCTGAGTCGCTTAAAGACAGACTCAATATCGCTCTTGGACGGTCCATTCTCTGCCATTTTGGTGTCAACTGACGTGTGTTTGTTTACGTCATCTGGTGGAGAGGCGGGTCGCCGCCAGGTGGCTCCCCCGCACGCCCGCCAACTTTCAAACACGCTAACTACTCGTGCCATTGTTGTTCAGTAAATAATAACCCTAGATGCAATTTGTTTTCACTGAACATTTCCTAAATGTCCTATTATCGCGTTTAAATCCTTTCCAGATTGAAAAGATACCCATGCACAAGAGAAGTCTGCATTATTAAACTGAATATTATCTGATGATACTTGGCTGACGTCCAAGTTTGAGGGTTTTTGAGAGGGTTTTTGGTATGTTAGCTTACTAATTATTATTTTATTTCATATTTGGTTAAAATAGACAACGTGTTTAAGCCTTAGTTTATATGGCAGAGTTCGTGTCAAACATTCTCTTAAAATATGAAAAATATATCTAGCTATAAATGTCCAAAAGTCTCTTAACTGACAGAACACAAAGCAGATTAACAGTGGTGTGTATTAAATGTATTAAGTTGTGTGATAGAAAATTATCTCATAATAAAAAAAATACACCATAATCATATTAAATATATGTAACAGAAATTCGCCAACCACGTTAGTTGGCAATATGCCCATGTAAACTAGGACTACCTTTGTGAAACCAATACCTTGGTTCCATCTTCTTTATTTGTGTAATTATATAGTTGCAGTACAGACTAAATACATCGCATGGTGGAGAGTGACATGTACTCCTGAAGGTTGCATGACCACATCAGTATGTGAGATGGCCAGCGTGAATATTAATATGGAGCTCACACAGAATGGCAAACAAATAACGACTTAGGGAGTCGGCCGTGTTGTCAAGGGACGAACGCACCAACCACCGGCAGTATCCGTGCACTCCAAGCCTCGCCCTATTGATGACTTTCTCGCCATCTCAACAAGTCGTAGGCCTTCTGCAGTTCTTGTGTTCTTATGTTGGCTGGGGTAGTATGTACTGGATAAATAAATAAATAAATAAATAAATAAATAAATAAATAAATGTACTGAATATGTTGTTTTGGTCCTGAAGATGGCTGAACGTACCTGAGTGTGAACTAACTGTTAGGTTTGGTTACTAGTCATGGTTGAGATGGTTTGATACCTAGCGCGTCGCCGATCTCTAATCTTCCATTGTCGTTGTATCTGGATTTTTCGGTGTTATTGGTTACGATATCTCTGGTGATTCAGTGAAAATTAGAATTTAGGACCTTCCCGAAACGCTATGCGTGCCAGTGACTTTATAAGAAAGTACGGTCTCTTGTATATATAAGTAAAATATAATGATCTGGTTGTGTATATAAATTATTTGTTCTTTGATGGAGCCTTGTTGTTAGTGCACTGTTAGGCACCTTGGAAGAGATGTTGTCATGCCTATATATTGAGATCGTTGGGGCTGACAGACCGCAAGTGGGCTTGTGAAGGCATTGATAACATTTGTCTCTTTAAATAAAGACATTTCCCTTGGTGTCGGGAGTGTTCTTCATGAGCAAGTTGGTGGTCTTCTTGCTCTTGTGGAAGAATGTCAACTGTGTCTTCCGGTTGGTATTGGTAGGATTCACGTTTCTATCATTAATGTCTTTCAGGATTCTTTCCTCCAGTTTGTGAGCCATGGAAAGAAGTTCCTGTAGAATAGTTCAATATAGCAGTGGGGCAAATACTGTAGTTTTGGCCGTTTCATCCATATTCGTTAGCTTATCCTTGCTCCACTGAGTTCCTCATCAACGTGCTTCTAACTGGAGCTGTGTGTGAGCAGGGATGACAGGCGTCGACAACACTTCGCTGGTACCTGTCAGGACGCTCACTACTAGCAAGGCACATCTCTATATTGGTAGTAGTGAGAAAGCCATGTATCATTTCTCTTAGAGACTGTTACATCAGGAAAGGCAGCTTACTTGATGTAAGCTGCCTTTCTTACATTAGGTAAGAAAGTTTCCTTCTCCATCTGGTAAGTGGAACTTATTATCAGGGATCTTCGCTCGAATGCATCCTTAAATTGTAGCAAGTGCTCAATATCAGGTACTTGCGGGAATATGTCGACAACTTACCTACAGTTTTATATGACGTCAGGCCATATAAAACCGTCAAATGAACTTTGAAGAGTTAATTTTTCAACTTCTTTCTCAAGTAAGAAGACTATTAGAAATATAGAGAAGAGTCCTGCTAAAATTATTTATCTAATTAACCCGTTCTGTCATGTTTAATATATTCAACTACGATAGTAAGGTCTTAATTAACATTGATACTATCGTAAAACTTTATTATATAATTCTGAAAGTTAGGTTCTGTTTTGAAAAGTACGAAAACTCGTCAGTTTAGTAGACTTCTTAAAAATAGCACTCTACACAAACTCAAGATCGCTCCCCCGACTAGTGTGTGTTGCCAGGGTATTTAGGGTGCCTCATGGCACCCTAAATACGCCGATTAATTGATGAAAATTAAGACACCCAAGAGGTGGCACGGGTTTGAGTAGCCCGTAATAAATACGCCGTCAAATAAATACGCTGTACGCTTATCTCACACAGGCGGGTGGGTACGTCCCCATGCACCTTCCCTCTGTTGGTTCAGAGCACTGGGGGCGAGTAGAGGTTTTATATAACTACAATCTCAGTACAATGTATGAATACCAAGTGACACATAGCTTTCTATCAACTCTAAGATATATTGGCGGAATAAAGTTTCAAGCCTGAATTTGTATTAGCAAGCTTGCTGTAGGTAGGCAACACTAGGCTATACGAGGGGATTACAGTGTAGGATCACCTAATATCCTCATCTCCCTCCATACTTTAGTCATATCTGGTATGTATGTGAGTCGAATCTATATTAGCTCGTCCCGTATTGTGCCTGAATTTACCTGAAGACCACCATCTCTCTAGCGGCCTCGACAGGGACAGGAAGCCGGCAGCCTGCCAAAGGTCCACTTATTGTTCATGAGGATATAATAGCCTAGTTCCAGAGTGAATCAAATAGTCGGCATCTTATGTCATTTGGTCTAAAAACACATTGATAATTGGGTATTCACTATTATAATGTTCAACAGTCTGTCCTATAGTAGTAATTTTTAACTGGCTATACAAAATCATTGCTGTATAATTGAAAAGATAATAATTGCCTGAGTGACCCTACAATTTACCTGAATATGGTCTAAGTCTCTATAAGAACAAAAATAAACCGGTAGGAGGCGAAGTCTCCGGTCTCCGACTACCCAAAGTGACGACAAAGATGACGACGACTAAGACGACCGTCGTAGTACCAACTCGGGATGACTATAGAGAATTTGAACTCTGATTTAGTGATGCTGCTAATGCGCCAGCCATATTTCTAAGACAAAGAAACACGAATTGGCTTTTTCTGTGCTCTGCATATATATATATATATATGTATATTTTTTTCTGAAGTACAGTGGTCTACGTTCTCGACTTAAAATCGAGGATACCAGGTTCGATCCCCTGACGGTGCAGATCTGGTTGGGTACATTTTTTTCACCTAACGCCTCTGTTCACCTTACAGTAAATAGCTACCCGGGAGTAAGGCAACTGTTGTGGGGTTGAAACCTGGGGGGGGGGGGTCTTTGACCTTGTGGAGACTTCGATACAAGCCTAAACAATATACATACACACACACACGTTTTGGGTCACAACTTCGAACGTGATAGGTTTGGGAAAAGTAGGAAATATGACTTTTCTCCGCTAACATGTCAACCATTTAGCTCAAACGTGCTAAACCCGACCACCAGGACCTAGCTGCTGCTTAAGTGTGGTGGGAGAGACAACAGGAAAACAAATACGAAGGATAAATTGTATATATATATTTTGTTTTTGTTATTATCAGTGCATATTGTATAAATACGAACATTGCCTCTGGCAAATTCTTTCACTCAGCTCGACTACTCATGGCGCCAAACACACTCAACATTTTTATTAAGGTAGTTTTGTTGTATATAATACAGCATACATTTTGATTCATCAAATACTATCAGTCATACACGAATGTGCAGGTACAGGTATATTCAACATTTATAAATACTTTAAGTAATATATCACATAGTAAGGACAAAACTGATGTCCTGTTAACATCTCTTGGCCTTGCCGATCCTGCCAGGACAGGAGTGCGGGATTTTGAAGGATATTTGAAGGATGATGGTGATATAGGATGATATGAAGGATAGCAGGTCTCGTGGGATTAACTGGCGTGGGAGATAGGATGACGGTGGCCTTGAAGGATGAGACATATGCAAGATTACTTGAAGGACTAAGTGTGGATAGGATGAAGGGTTACGGTAGGATTGGCAGCAGGATGGATTCGTTCCGGAAGTGCTTAAAGAACGGGGTCGTTGAAGGATTGTTTTATGAGGATGTGATTGTAGGAAGTATTTAATGGTTTGAAGCTGTTGCAAAGTTCACTGAAGCGGAAGGATACCACAGGTATACCCTGAGGAAAATATAGCTTCAGACTGAAGTCCTATATATTGAGAAATGTCCAAGACACTTCTATAGGATATCAACAGGTGCCGAGATGCGACAGATGTAGGATCAGCGACGGGAATGAGGAGGATGGTGGCAGCATCCTTCAATGCCTAACAAATAATACCCAGGATGGGGCTTAATGCCCTGACAAAGCATTTTGGAAGTCCGTCCACACAAAAGGTGAACATGGAGATGCGAGAGCGTGTCCCTTATCCCTGGTAGCCAGGAATGTGATAGCCGCCTGGGGAAGGGGCAGGGAAAGGATAGTGAGGAGCGGAAGGAGGGGAATAGTTGGGTCCTGGCAGGGGACCGGTGAGGGCTTGCGGGAACGTCTGATCACCGACTTCGCTGCCAGCGGAGGCAGCTGTCAGTGTCTTGCCGCTGCGTTTGCTATGGTTGTGTGAGTGCTTGCTATGCTTGTCGAACTTGTTCTGCAGCTTGCTTGATTTGTGGATCTGATAGACGTGTTCCTCGGGGTCCTGACCATCCTCCGAACCGAAGCTGTCAGAGTTACGGGGATAGAGCACCACCTCGTCGTCTTGGAGTACGGGCGGCTTCTCGTAGGCGAGATAGATGTCGTTGGGTTGACCATCCCCTCTGGGAGCATTCGCCCTGAGGAAGGCATAAAGATTTCGATCCCCGGCACCACATGGGTCTCAGCTTTACATCCAAGCCTCCGACTACTACCACTTTAATTTACTTAAGATTGAACTAGCTGTACAAGCTCACAATAATACAAATTATATATATTATAAATACATTTCTCTGCTGCTTCATAAACATTACAGCAGAAGACGTCTAAACTTGTTAATAAACAGACAAAAGAACGAGGTGATAGTGTTCGCAAAACATAGGAACGTCTGTAAGAAAGTGGACGGATTCACAGGTAACCAGAAGGGTTTACGGGAAACATGAGATTGATGCGAAGTTGGAAAGGCTTATTTTGTTAGAAGATGAAAAAAGAGTTGATAAGGATCTGCAAAAAAATTAGAATAATAAAAATGAATTTTGAAAACTAAAAATTTTGAATTGACTAAAACGAAGTTGAAGGGAACCGTGAACAATTTAGAAGAATTAGAGGAAGATCGAAAGATGTACAAGGAATTAGGATGATCAATGGGAAGTTAACTGGAGAAGTAGATATCTGAATGAGTTAGAACGTTCAGTAGAGGGTAGGAAAGCTCTATGGAAAGTTCAAATGTCTATGGGGACTTGGGAAGGAACTAAAATAAGTTGGAAGAACCTACAGGGAAACGGAAGGTCTTTCAGTTACCAGGAATGTTTCTTAGGCAGTTGGAATTAGAAGGAACTAGAGTGAACTAAGAGAGAGACTACTGGCAGTTGGATGTAGAGGATCAAGATCTTGGAGGAGCTGAGATGAGCAGCGATGGGTGGAACATGGCTGATGGGGGAGTTGGTAAGCACGGTGGCGAGGCGAGAAGATATGTGGGGTTAGGGAGAGGAAGAGGTGGGTGGGGGTTGTAAGAGACTGAGGACGTACCTGACACTATCTCCGGGAATGTATCCGTGGAAGGGTAAGCTCTCTGCTCCGCTCTGTGCCACTGCCATCTGCAGGACAACACTCGCGGAGCTCAGTAGCAATACGGCCTTCCACTGTGGCGCCACACAGGTGGGACAGGAGCAGCAGCAGTAAGAGCATCAGCAGGTGGGGCAGGAGCAGGAGGCGGAGAAACGAAACATTTTCGGTTAGCCAAAACCAGCTTCTCACAGCGTGTCCTCCGGTGTAATAGCTTCATCACATTAACATTTCTCAGACAAAATACCAGTGTTTCTGGATATTCAGAACACGACACAACACACTCTAAACTTCTAACAAGAGCATCAACTTCCCTCAACTTACAGTCGAGCAATAGATTAACAATAACAAAACTTCATCTGTGTTTTAAAGGCAGAAGATTATTGAGAGGTGATGGACGGTTGCGTGGGAGTTCGTCTGGACAAAATACACCCATCATTATGACCGATTGTTAAGATAATATTTGGACAGTCTGGAGGCAAAAGCTCGGCCCCTACAGCTCTGTATAGCTTTTGGGTGAGGAACAAATACCTGTAGTGACTTCAGATTGTCCCTTACTTGACCTAATACAATTTAGATTCTTGTTGCAAAAGTCTTAGCAATAATTTAACTGTGATAATTTACCAGTTATAATATTTTACGTTTAATTACTGCACTAACAAATATTTAACATAAATTATTAATATTACAAGGCCAGGATGAACATGTTATAATTCCTTTACTACAAAACCAATTGGAGCTTTAGGTATTAGCAGTGAATGTAGAGCCTCGCTGAGAACCTCAGCCCTGAGGCAAGGGTTAGTGTTGACAAGAGTGGGATGTTGTTTTAGATTTAGCTACTCAGAAGGAAATGTCCATGTAGCAGGGGCTATAGTGAGCCCGAATGGAAGAGTAGGAGATACGATTGATGAAAACCAAGCCACCCAAGAGGTGGCACGCTCTTGAAAAGTCCGTAATTGGAGATTACGGGCTTTTATTATGAGATTATTGGCTCATTTTATCAAGTTCGCAGGAAGGAGGTAGGCAAGGTGTGAACTTATAGTGAGTAAGGTGTGTGTGAGGAAGGAGGAGCCAGCTTACCATGGTTCTCAGTATACCCCGCTTGTGAGCTGACTGAAGTCTTGGATGGAACTGATACTTCTCCTGCCTCCTCCACCCTATTTATGTCTATCCCGCGACCTTAACTGCTTCGAGGATATGATCATTACGATTTCTTCTTCCTTCCCTGTTGCTGTGTACGCGTGCATTCTTGTGTGTGGGTGGTGACGTGCTCACGAGAAAGTTGCAACAAGTTTGAATTATGATTCATTGCAACATAACACATGCCGCAATAAACTCACTTATATTGATTAATATGTTTACATATATATAAATAAGGGTACCAAATTTGCATGGCTTCCCCATCTAACCCGATGAAGTTCGAAGGCTACACGAGGCTCCAGCTCCTGGGCCCCTGCCTTAATGAAGAATTATTGTGATTCACAACAATAGCTACATTCCAAGTTTTTATAACAAAGTTTGCCATGAAAACCAATGCAAATGAAATAAGTAATTAATTTTGTCGGGTACATATGTGGATCTGGAGATGGGAGTTTGACTCAAGCGAGTGGGACCTAGACACTTGTGATCTGTGAGCAGTACTGGGCGGCTGTGACCAGTGGCGCCACGGACCCATCACCAGGGTGACACGCCCTCTGGCCCTCTACACACAAAAGCTTTGTGCAGTTGCTTTCAAGATCATTTCTGGTTACAGTTTCCGGTCGCCGGCAGGCCTTGTAGTTACCGCCCGGCTTCATATAACTAGTGGACACTCTCTGAAGATTCCAAAACTCCGGCGTCTCATATTTACCCGATTTTACCTGAGAGCCACTAACACTAGTGGCCTCGACGAGTACAGGAAGCCGGGGGCTTGTCGAAGGTTCCTCCCTCCCCCAAGATGTCCTTATAACATCCCGCTTCATACTCAGCCCGTTCATACACTCCCATAACCACTTCCGCCACCTCATTCTTTGAAAGAGACTCTAGTTTTATTTTCTTTATTATATTAAACAACATATGTATACAAATAAAAGTAAAGTTACCAAAGTAACATTGCTGTACACGAGCACCACAGGTGAGGCGCCGGTGGCTGTGTGGATAGCACACTGGGCACGTAATCCTGTGGCCCGGGTTCGATTCCCGGCGCCGGCGAGAAACAATGGTTTGTTTCTGATTCTCTGAACACCCTGATTCCCCTGTTACCTAGCAGTAAATAGGTACCTGTGAGTCAGACCGCTGTTACTTCCTGGGTGTGTGTGTGTGTGTGTGTGTGTAATTACCTAAGTGTAATTACCTAAGTGTAGTTACAGGCTGAGAGCTACGCTCGCGATGTTGTGTGTGTGTGTGTGTGTGTGTGTGTGTGTGTGTGTGTGTGTGTGTGTGTGTGTGTGTGTGTGTGTGTGTGTGTGTGTGTGTGTGTACTCACCTAGTTGTACTCACCTAGTTGTGTTTGCGGGGGTTGAGCTCTGGCTCTTTGGTCCCGCCTCTCAACCGTCAATCAACAGGTGTACAGATTCCTGAGCCTATCGGGCTCTGTCATATCTACACTTGAAACTGTGTATGGAGTGAGCCTCCACCACATCACCCCCTAATGCATTCCATTTGTCAACCACTCTGACACTAAAAAAGTTCCTTCTAATATCTCTGTGGCTCATTTGGGCACTCAGTTTCCACCTGTGTCCCCTTGTGCGTGTTCCCCTTGTGTTAAATAGACTGTCTTTATCTACCCTATCAATCCCCTTCAGAATCTTGAATGTGGTGATCATGTCCCCCCTAACTCTTCTGTCTTCCAGCGAAGTGAGGTTTAATTCCCGTAGTCTCTCCTCGTAGCTCATACCTCTCAGCTCGGGTACTAGTCTGGTGGCAAACCTTTGAACCTTTTCCAGTTTAGTCTTATCCTTGACTAGATATGGACTCCATGCTGGGGCTGCATACTCCAGGATTGGCCTGACATATGTGGTATACAAAGTTCTGAATGATTCTTTACACAAGTTTCTGAATGCCGTTCGTATGTTGGCCAGCCTGGCATATGCCGCTGATGTTATCCGCTTGATATGTGCTGCAGGAGACAGGTCTGGCGTGATATCAACCCCCAAGTCTTTTTCCTTCTCTGACTCCTGAAGAATTTCCTCTCCCAGATGATACCTTGTATCTGGCCTCCTGCTCCCTACACCTATCTTCATTACATTACATTTGGTTGGGTTAAACTCTAACAACCATTTGTTCGACCATTCCTTCAGCTTGTCTAGGTCTTCTTGAAGCCTCAAACAGTCCTCTTCTGTTTTAATCCTTCTCATAATTTTAGCATCGTCCGCAAACATTGAGAGAAATGAATCGATACCCTCCGGGAGATCATTTACATATATCAGAAACAAGATAGGACCGAGTACAGAGCCCTGTGGGACTCCACTGGTGACTTCACGCCAATCGGAGGTCTCACCCCTCACCGTAACTCTCTGCTTCCTATTGCTTAGATACTCCCTTATCCACTGGAGCACCTTACCAGCTACACCTGCCTGTCTCTCCAGCTTATGTACCAGCCTCTTATGCGGTACTGTGTCAAAGGCTTTCCGACAATCCAAGAAAATGCAGTCCGCCCAGCCCTCTCTTTCTTGCTTAATCTGTGTCACCTGATCGTAGAATTCTATCAAGCCTGTAAGGCAAGATTTACCCTCCCTGAATCCATGTTGGCGATTTGTCACGAAGTCCCTTCTCTCCAGATGTGTTACCAGGTTTTTTCTCACGATCTTCTCCATCACCTTGCATGGTATACAAGTCAAGGACACTGGCCTGTAGTTCAGTGCCTCTTGTCTGTCGCCCTTTTTGTATATTGGGACCACATTCGCCGTCTTCCATATTTCTGGTAGGTCTCCCGTCTCTAGTGATTTACTATACACTATGGAGAGTGGCAAGCAAAGTGCCTCTGCACACTCTTTCAGTACCCATGGTGAGATCCCATCTGGACCAACCGCCTTTCTAACATCCAGATCCAGCAGGTGTCTCTTGACCTCCTCTCTCGTAATTTCGAACTCCTCCAAGGCCGCCTGGTTTACCTCCCTTTCTCCTAGCACAGTGACCTCACCCTGTTCTATTGTGAAGACCTCCTGGAACCTCTTGTTGAGTTCCTCACACACCTCTCTGTCATTCTCTGTATACCTGTCCTCGCCTGTTCTAAGTTTCAATACCTGTTCTTTCACTGTTGTTTTCCTTCTGATGTGACTGTGGAGTAGCTTTGGTTCGGTCTTGGCTTTGTTTGCTATATCATTTTCAAAATTTTTCTCTGCTTCTCTTCTCACCCTGACGTACTCATTCCTGGTTCTCTGGTATCTCTCCCTGCTTTCTGGTGTTCTGTTATTCCGGAAGTTCCTCCACGCCTTTTTGTTCAGTTTCTTCGCTTCCATACATGCCCTATTATACCATGGATTCTTCTGTTGCTTCTCGGATTTTTCCCTTTGGGCCGGGATGAACCTGTTTACTGCCTCCTGACACTTTTGGGTAACATAGTCCATCATACCCTGTACAGACTTGTCTCTGAGGTCTGTGTCCCAAGGTATTTCACTTAGGAAACTTCTCATCTGTTCATAATTCCCCTTTCGGTATGCCAGCCTTTTGATTCCTAGTTCTTTTTGGGGGGAGATAAGTCCTAGCTCTACCAGGTACTCAAAGCTCAATACACTGTGGTCACTCATTCCCAAGGGCGCTTCCATCTTAACTTCCCTTATATCCCATTCATTTAGGGTAAATATCAAATCAAGCATTGCTGGTTCATCTTCTCCTCTCATTCTTGTTGGTTCTTTGGTATGCTGGCTTAGAAAGTTGTGTGTGTGTGTGTGTGTGTGTGTGTGTGTGTGTGTGTGTGTGTGTGTGTGTGTGTGTGTGTGTGTGTGTGTGTGTGTGTGAAAAATTAATAACAGTTGATTGACTGACAGTTGAGAGGCGGGCCGAAAGACCCCCCGCAAGCACAACTAGATGAATACAACTAGGTGAATACAAGATACAGTGCAAGAAACAGTGCACCACCCCAATACATAACCACATAAAACATAATTTACACCACGCAAATACCTACACACAGCGTATAGACGCGTCCAATATGTACACCAATCCACCCAAGTGGACCACAGATAAGAGTTCTTATCTGATCTGCAAATACAGATCGCCAGTTCCACATGACAGAAAATCCGGAAAAAAACATAAGAAATAATAATACACACAAGGGACCTCAACAGTCGGAGGCCGTTACCACCTCCCAAAATGATTAAACAATACTAGGAACAACCAAAAATCTAATAAGGCCCAACAAAGGAAATTCAACAAAAAAGAAGTATACACCAAGCGCATTAAAACATAACAATACAACTGACCACGGTCAGAGGAAAGAGGTATACCTCTTTCCTCTGAAAGAAAGACCGGAAGGAACATATTCCAAGGTCAGAACTGCATAATGCATACAATACATAGATAGCTCAGTCGTAGCTAGCAAGGGCTAGCAAGGAGGGGAGACATCTCCGAACTTTGCCATGTGTGTTTGCAACAGAAACACACGCACACTGAAGGCTCCATATACCAAGGGGGCAAGACAGCACAATAGCAAGGAAAAATTCATGGCAACATTGGACACCACCCAACAGCAGGACATGGAAAAGTGGACGTCCAGCTCACGGGGCCCCGACTGAGTTCCCGGAGGAGTTGTTGAAGTAACATACGGGCAGTTCGGGAAGGTGGTGGCTGTGTGGAGGAATGTTCTCTCCTCCGGTCGCTTACGGGGAGTTTTCAACGCCATCCGGATGCTAGAAATGAGGCTTCTTACTGACATCTCTTCCTCTGTCAGGCTCATGAGACACTACATCCGTTTGTATTATGCCCGGCAGCCGAGGACGTGCTTTCGTTGTAGATTGTTGGGCCACGTGGCTGCAGGGTGCTCCGCGAGTGTCGTCGCCCCCGTCAATCTCTTTCGCGAGAAGAATTGTCCGCCCCTGGTTGTTGACGAGGCTTCGGAGGGTGTGGGTGTGCCCTTGGACGGCGTGCTTGTACGTGGTGTGTCTGCTGTTGGTGAGGATCGGGCGCCGGGTGCTGTTCCGTCGTCGTCTGCGTCGTCTGCGGCTCCCATAAGTGGTGTCGATGTGGGTGGGGTTCAGCGGGTCAACCTTCCCCCGCCTCCCACTTCTG